CAAGAGGATAAGACTCTGCGCATAAAAGACACTAGCGGTCTGCACCTCTACCGTGTACGCCCTAGTCACTCTTTCAGTGGTAGCGGAGCAGTGATCCTGGAAGACCCAGGTGAGCTCCTTTCCTAGGCATAGACTTGCTAGTGGGCAAACGGCCATGGATTGGATTGACGACTGGGAAGAGCCTGATGCGGATGTGGCTTATGAGCCAGCAGCCTACGTGAATAGGCATGTGAGAAGAGAACCAGCAGCGATAGCTATGACAACACAGGTCACTACAAAGGTGCCCCCATCTTATGATGGAAAGACTTCATGGTTTTCCTATGAGGATGCCATAGACGATTGGTGTGATATCACCGAGCTGGAGGATGAGAAGAGAGGACCAGCATTGAGAAACCGACTAGAAGGAGAAGCAGCTGTATACAAGCGAGTTTTAGACAGAGATGCATTGAAGGCTAATGAGCCACCAGGAGCTGGAGTAGATTACTTCAAGAGAGTACTACGACCATATTTCGTGAAAGGATCAACCAATGTATTCCTGTATAGGTTTATGCAATTCGTGCGCTTCAATCGAGGATCAGCTGACATGATGAAATGGATGACAAGATTCCAGATTTTACTCCAAAGGCTTATGAGCAGTTGGATGGACATGTTAGAACCAGTCACTCAAGCACATCCACAAGTCCTAGCTCAGATGCAGGCAGATGCAGCGTTGACTGGAGTAGCACCAACGGCAGAAAGGATTCAGGAAATCATGCAGACCATCAATGGCAATATGAGGACTTTTCATCAGAACGAATTTCCTCTAGGAGAAAATCTCATTGCCTTACTCATGCTGTCACTTGCAGATTTGTCTCAGGACCAGCAAAACACTTTGACTTCTTTGATGACTCATCGTGGCAGAGTCCTGCAGCAATACACTACAACAGAGTTGAGGACAGTGTTCATCGAGATGTTCTGCACGACAAAGACTTCAGTAGACAATCCTTTGATGCAGCCTACAGGTGCTGGAGGTAGAAGATCATTTCTCGTACTAGACGAAGGAGAACTCGATGGTACATTTGGCTATTGGGCCGAAGATGAAGAAGATGGAACAGAAGGATTTTTAGATGCCCTGGACGATGTCTTTTGGGTATATGATGATCAAAACTTCTCGTGGTTCCAAAGGAGATTCCAAGGAAGAAGAGCCAGAAAAGGCAAAGGAAAAGGAAGAAGAAAAGGAAAAGGTAAAGGAAGATCAGGCCGCAGATTTTTCAGACCTCGTGGAAAAGGAAAAGGAAAGAGACGAGGTAAAGGCCATTTTGCTGATGAGCAACAGACAACTTTTCCAGATGAATACTTTGAAGAGAATCCTTATGAGGACACTTGGGAGTCAAACCAAGGAGCATATGATGCCATTCTTGCCGAAGATATGAATGACTATCTTCAAGGAGAATATGATGATGCCAATGACTTTTGGCAACAGCTTGAAGAAGCATGGTTTTTCCACAAAGGAAAAGGAAAAGGCAAGAGAAAGGGCAAGAAAGGAAAAGGAAAAGATAAAGGAGATGGCAAACAAGATGCAAACTATGCAAATCAACAACAGCCACGTTCTTTACCTGCACCTTCAAGATCTTCACAAGCATCAGGAGGTCAACAAGGTTTCTTTGCACATTGTGTGACAGCAGCAGCTGAAGTCCATGACAGTGAGGTGGACTTGCTGTCAGGCATGATGACCTCATGCCAAGATGAAGCTGGCTGCGCGGTCAACAATGGTGAGACGATCTTCGATGACATGAGTGCCCCTGTGAGGTACTCTTTGTCAAAGGAGATGCTCACAAAGGCTCCTGATGGCTTTGCGCTTATGAGCGCTGAGGAAGAAGTGAAGGAGATGCAGGCCATTTCATTTTTGACTGAGAATCGCTTCCCGCCGACTATTGCAATCCTGGACATTGGATGCACTAGAGCTATGGGATCAAGGCGAGCAGTCGACCATTTTTGCAACTATGTCGACAATCACCCAGATTGTGGATTATGGTACTCTTTTGAGGCTACCAAGAGCAAGTTTTACTTTGCCAATTCCCAGAAGGCTACTTGCTCTCAGAAACTGGTGATTTACATGTATGATCGTGCATGGACGATCCACCATACAGAGTTCGACATAGTGGAAGAAGGAGAAGTCCCTTTGCTTATGAGCTTGCCACAGATGAGGAACTTAGGCTTTGAACTCAGGCTGACACCTCAACATGCGTATCTGACGTCGGTGCCTCTTGGTATCAAATATTTGGAGTTGAAGGTTGCAGCCAGTACTCATCTTGTCTTGGACTTCCAAGATATTGCATGGTATCTGTCTGACGTGAATTTGCAGACTCGGCGCGAGAAGAGTTTTTACTCTCACTTCACTCACTATGAATATGGTCATATTTCTGTTGACCTCAATAGTGATGAAGATGTAGCTGAACATGCATATCCTGTGGTTGACTACTGGGAAGTAGATGTTCACAAGAGAGAACTGATACGTCACCACAAGGATTATAGAAAGATTCTTTTTCCAGCAACTAAGTCCTGTCCTGTAGACACTGACTTACTGGAAGACTTGCGACTGACAATCATCAAGAAGAAGAAAGGAGGAGAAGAGATCAAGAAGCAAGATGATTGGCGCAAGGCAAAATGGAAGGACCTACAAATTGGCTATGAATGGCGTGGTAGAACAATTTTTAAGTTCAAGCCAGATGCCAAAATTCCAGATCTAAAGATCAGGAAGGCTGGCATTGAGCACCGTGGCATTGGTGATCCCGATGCAGTGGTGCGCTCCTCCTCAGAGAAGGTTCCCATTGCAAAGGACAGGGAACCAGGCTTCTCTTCAGAGAAGGAAGGTGCACCATCCAGTGCCGCGGAAAAGCCCGTGCCGCCAAAGTTTCGGTATACTTCCAAGGGTTTTGATCCATTT